GCCAAATCTTGAAGCCTCGGTTGGAAGCCTCACAAACTTGCTCTGCTCTCTCAAAGCCTCACTCTGTAACTCTCTGTCTCTATGTTACGTGAGTAGGGGTTTTCCAACCCTTAATACAGATACAACTATGTATAAATAGGCGTAAAAATCCTAAACCCTAAGCTTTGTTTAATTCAGCCAGAGCCCTAATGTAAAACTCTAATCAGTCGGCCCATATAGCAATCTAGGTTATAAGATACTCAGCTACATACGCGTAACCTCTTAGGGAACCCTACTGTTTAAAATTAGACCAGTTAGTAATTTATTTTAATACAGTAACTGATACTAATTTAAACTATAATTTAATCTAATTAAAATATTTAAATAAACCAATTTACACATTAGAATGACCAACTAATCCAATTACAGAAAATACACATATAACTAAAAACACAACCCAATTAAATAAAATAAGAAACAATTAATGAAAATAAAATTCATAATTAAACAATTAAAACACTTAAACAATAAATGCCAACTAAATACATGTCACATAAAATTAATAAACAAAAATAATTAAACCAAATAATCACGCAAAAATACAATAAAAATAATAAATAAATGCCGAGACTATCCTTTTAAAATTAGGGGTATTACAATTCCCTATGATTATTATGGGTTTGTATATGAAGTTTGAGATTTCTCTTCCACCCCGAGCTCGTCATGCTGACATTGTGTCTGAGATAGATGTTAAGGCTTTTAATAAGTTTAAGGCTGCCAGGGCTACAGCTAGGAAAGTGCTTCATCGTACCTCAGCCTTAGATGGTCGAGGCACAAAAGAATTCATTTCAGATGCAAAAGCAAACTAAGATAGATACATTGACTCTCTATTCCTATTCCTTTGGTCGAGCAGCATGAGTTCAGTCACTTCTTCATCTCTTCCAGAGATTTCTCAGATTTTTCTGTCAAAATGGAATTTCACAACAGAGGACGCTAATTTGCTCTACTCATTGATTCTTCATAATCAGAAGGCCATGCTTGATGTTATTTGTGATCTACAGTCCGAGTTTAGATTTCTTTGAGAGTAGAGGACGGGTAGTACATCAGTGGATGTCTACAGACCAGCCCCTCCAGAGACGTCATTAGATCCTGAGGCTGAGAGAGATGATGAAGAGGATGAGATAGATGATGATGCAGAGGATGATAAAGATGGTAGTGGTAGTGGCATTGATGGTGGTGATGATGATATATCGACTACTACTGTTTCATTTACTGGAGATGTTAATGCTTGATTTCATGTTCATATCATACATGCATCATATTTTGTTCAATTTTTACATTGTCATGACTTGATATTTTTGGATATTATCTTTTGACTGCTAACATGTACTAAACTGTTTAATTGTTTCTCTACTTGTTATTTTTTCACTCTGATCATTGTTAATTGCTTTGTCAATTTTGTTCCAAAAAGGGGGAAAATAATAGTTAATTAAGGGGGAGAAACTACTGAAAAATTGGATAATTTATTCAAATGGAGTTTTTAACATGTTTTATTAAGCTTTCACTGGTAGTTTTGCTTGATTCATGTGTAGGAAATCAGGTGAAATTTTGTTCAAGAGAAGAAGAGAACAGAGGTTGAAAAAATTTCGTGTTTCTAAACAATATTGTAATTTACTTTACTGCTTGGGTAGATTGCTAAAAATTATTTTTAGGATTTTGTCACAAAATTACCAAAGGGGAAGATTGTGAGATATAAAATTGTAATTGGATATATTCGTTGTCAAAACAAGTCCTAGTCGAGTTATAATTTCCGGTTACCATATCAGGTTCGACATCGACTACGGAATTTTGGAAGGTTATTCAGAAAAAGAAAATACTATTGATCATTGAAAAGGAAAAAACAACACATTAGGAAGTCATTTTCCACTTAGGACACAAATACCTACAAGGTATAATTTCTAGAGTTACCAAATACAGAAAATCCAACTTTAGATTGGATTCTGTCAAGTGGGAACCGGTACCTGAATTTGGGAACCAGTTCAAGAAGCTGAGATTTGAGACAAATCAATTCTGTCCTTTAAGAACCGGTACCAAGATCCTCCTACCGGTTCCATTGCTGTTTCACTTTAAGGAAACTTTGTCCTGATAAATTTTGAACTTCCTATTTGGTTTAGAAGTTTACTAAAAGTCCTATGCATGAAATTTCCTTTATTTTCAGAAGGAATAGGTTTTTGAAAACTCTATATAAACCTTGATACACATCTAGGTTATTCATGGTTTTAGCATTACAACTTCATTATAATTGTAAGTCTTAGGAAGATTATTTTTGCAGAAAATTCAAGAGATTTATCTGTCATCTTTCTAGAACACATACACATAAACACTTAGTGAGTTTAGAGTTATGGTGCTCAAATCCTGATCGTGATTATACAGTTGCATCTACATCGATCAGACAAAAACAGATCTACTTCTACATCGAAATTCAAACATTGAAGAAAATAAGTAAAAGCGATCACACTTTAAAGGGTTGGAGCATTTGAGGAGTGTTATCTGATCTACTCGTTACTCTTCTACAAATATCAAGCATAAGCCTAAGGTCAAGTTGCTATTGGACGGGACGTCGCAAAGCCAGAGAATTGTTAGCTATTGGTGTTTGGCAGAACGATAGGATGTTAACCAGAGTCAAAGTTCAGTGTACTTTGTTTCAAACATAGTGGATCGGTTTACTTTGGACTGCAGAGTTCACGAGGTTTTCCTACGAAAACAGTTGACGTATTTTATCAACTGGGGTTTCCTCGCTAAAAATCCTGGTGTCATATATAACTTTTACTTTGTTTTATTTTATCTTACATGATAATTAATTGTTTAATTACTAAAATAAGTAAATTTGGAAAAGACACAGATCAATTTTATAATAATCATAACTTTCTAAATATATTCCGATGCGTACGACTCACAAAGATATCATTTCAACTTTTAAATAACCAATTTGCACATAGTTAGCATAGAATCACAATAAGAAACTCAAAATGAAGTCAAAATTTTCTAAATATATTCCTATACGTACGACTCACAAAGATATCATTTCAACTTTTAAATAACCAATTTGCACATATTTAGCATAGAATCACAATAAGAAACTCAAAATGAAAGCAAAGCAAGGTGATTTAGACACCCCTGTCTCAAGGATGCAACCCTAAGCTCCTAGATACCAAGCTCGAAATTCACCAAATGGATGCAAAATCGGTATAGAATTGAAGCTTTTGGATAGTAAAACCAACCTCCCTTCCCTTCTTGCTCTTTGCCTAGTTCTCACTTTAAGTTGATCAAATCCTAGAGAGAACTTGTAGATTTAGGGAGAAAAAGTGAGATGGAGGAGAGACAAAGGAAAACAAAAAATGAGGGGAAGAATGGGTTGGTGGTCAAGCCTTGGTTCATTTGACCCTACCCTCATCCAAATGTGTGGCTCATATGTGGTCAAAAGTCCACTTAACACCCAATGACCACAATGCCCCCCAAATCTCACCCAATGAAGAACCATTCCCCAAAAATATCTTCCTCCACCCACATACCACATATACACTCATATATGCATATACAAATATTACACTAACACACAAATAAATAAATGCATGGTAATGGAAAATAATATCGGGACTCACACGGTACGCAAAACGATGTACGAATAAATAAATAAAAATAAATACCAAAAAATTCGGAACACTACATTATTCGTAGCTAGCTTTAAATTGAACGTGTCACGCCCCAAATCCTTAAGACCCGGTGCATGTAACGACCCGAACCTATCCTTCAAACCATGACTAAATGAACCTATCCTTCAATTTAAAGTTTTCCAGCTCTAGCTCTGGCCACCTTCAAATTCTTAAATTTGCGTTGAGCAAGTTAGAAAAAATGGGTTGATCTTGGATTAGTCTTTATTGAATTTCTCTTTATTATAAAGAAATTTAAAATTGAAGGCAAATATAGCAAAATTTATGAAGAAGTTCATAGATTCCCCAGATGATTAAAATACAATAATTCAATATTAAAAAGAAAAACATTGTTTATCACGCTTATAAATATATAAAATATGTAAAATTAAAAGTAATTGGGATTTAGTTTAGGTTGAAGTTGTGTGACACTTAAATCCAATCTCAAACTAAATAAATCCAAATTTTAAAAAGGATTAACAAAACTCATGAAAAATCGTTTCGGGCTTGGATGAGCTTTGCCCACTTATTTTTCTATTTTTTATTTTTAAACATCATTTGAACCCCTAATTTGAAGTGCACTTTTGGAAACTAAACTTAGTGCAATAACTAAGGAGAACATTGATTTTATTAATTATGAACTAATATCTTGGAGAAACCTCATCCACATCATTAATATAAGAGAGAATGTTAAGATTTCTTTTATTTTTTTCTTTGCGTATTAGATTTTTGAAGTGGTGCATGTTTATATATATTGTCATTGTGCCACATCACTACTAAGATTTTGGTAACCGAAAATATTTTAGGTTTTTGTTTTAATCCAAAACAAAATATGTATTTTGTAAGAGATTTCTACCCACCTAGGGCGTGTTTGGTAACCGGAAACATTTTCTATTTTTGTTTTAATTCGAAACAAAACGAGTGTTTTGTTGTAAAATGTCTTGAACAATAATTGGAAGCATGTTATTTGTTGCAAGATTTTTGGAAGTAAAAACATGATAACATGTATGGTAAAAAATTATACCAAGTCTGAAAAATATAATGCTTAGTTTAAAAATATCATTTAAGAGATTTTCAATTTTTTTATTAAATTTTTTTTTATTATTCATCATTATTACAATACCTATTGCTACAGTGCGGAAACATGTAAAAATATGGACTTGGTGTTTTGACTTTTGGCCACCATTCATGAAACGTTTTAGCACTGTACAAAACAATATATTTTTTATCAAACACGTTTTATCCAGAAATGTTGCTGTAGTACCCAACCTAAAACAAAAACAACATAAACAAAATGCGTACCAAAACAGATTCTTAGTGTGAAGGCTAAGTATTGTTGTTTTACTATTCATAAGATGAGAGAGTTCACAAACATATAGTACATCCTAATGAAAAGCTCCCAAGTCTAGAGAACATAAGAACAAATTTATTAAGTTGATAAAAAATGAAACACTACTATCTTAACATATCCTCAATAGTTATGCTCATCTCAGCGTGGGATGAAGTTGGTACTCCTATTGGGTTGTTGTCTGCTTGATCCTCCATTGACATATCGTTGGAATAGAGGAAAGGCTTGGGAGGCATTTGCAGTAGCTCCTCCTCCCCTTCCAGCATTTGCAAGACTTCGCTCATGGAGGGACGATCCACGGGCTTCAGTTGTATGCACCATAATGCAGCTATAATCATCTTCCTTACAGACCTTTTTTCTTGTTCAACGACATCTCCCAACTGTAAGTCCTCACCTTGATTGATATGATCATAAATCCAATATGGGAAGTATATTTGACTTGTGTGCTCTGCATCTGCATTCACATTCTTCCTTTTCCCCACCATTTCCATCAACAGCATACCAAAGCTATAAACATCAGCCTTATATGACACCCCTCCAATGTTCTTATAGAACAACTCTGGAGCAATATATCCAAATGTTCCCCTTGCTGCAGTGAGAGAAACAATACTGTCATCTGTGGGGTACAATTTTGCAAGGCCAAAGTCTGAAACTTTTGGGATAAAGCCTTTGTCAAGGAGAATATTGTGAGGTTTGATATCAAAATGTAGAATTTGCATGTCACAACCTCGGTGCAAGTATTCAATCCCTCGAGCCACTCCAACCGCAATCTCATGCATTCTCTCCCAACTGATGAGGGGAATATTCTTTTCTCCTCCAGAGAAAAGGAACTTATCAAGAGATCCGTTAGGCATAAAGTCATATACGAGAGCTCTTTTAGATCCCTCTGCACAAAATCCAATCATTCGCACCACATTGACATGATGAATCCTTCCTATTGTAGCGACTTCACTGATGAAATCTTGTCCATTACCTTTTGACATGCCCAACACTTTTACCGCTACAAGATCACCACATCGGAGCTTGCCTTTGAACACCGACCCATATCCTCCTTGACCTAACTTATCCCTGAAACTTTTGGTCATCTGCTTTATATCTGAATAGGAGTACCTAATTGGCATGAAGTTATTTTGACTCTCGAGAAAATTTTCAATGGCATCATCTCTAGCCAAGAGTCTTCTTCGGAATCTATATGCCGGCAATATAATTAAGCGTAACAACCTAATTGGCATAAAGTTGTTTCGACTCTGGAGAAAGTTTTCAATGGTATCATCAATGGACAAGTGTGTTCGTCGGAATCTATAGGCCAGCAATATAATAAAAAATAGCAACCCAATTGAAATCCTTGCTATGATGATGTACACTCCTAAGAGAGAGAATATATATTAGTACATGTTCAATTAATTGGTCGTATGCAGAGAACAATATTTGATATTAATACTTGACATTTATCAATTTGTTTTTCCCTCATACAAGCCAAGCTAACATGTGAGAGAGCAAGAAAGAAAGTTATTTATTTTAACTCACCTACGGTTTTGATGATGCCGACTGATAGACGAATCACCCAGAAGTGAGGGGAAAAAAAAAAAGTCAGTATCGAAATGAGGTATTGAGAAATTAAAATCAATTAAAGAAAAGAAATTGATGGAATGATGATAAACTTACTTATGGAATAGACTATGAATTCTTCAAGCCTGCATTGAACCAATGGAGTGAAGTAAAATTAGTATTATTGGCGGATTATATATTCGCGCCATGATCACTAAGAAACAAGAATACGATTAGTTTTGGGAGTGATTGTGTGCGCTTATAACCAACACCATTGAAATGCAATTTTATACCTCAACAGTACATCACTTATCCATAGTGGATGTTGAGGAGGAGCATATTGATGAGGAGGAGCAAGTGGAGGCATAAACGAAAGTTGAAACCCTCGAAGCAACTCCTGATGAATGTCAGAAATAGTGAGGTTCCAATGGAATTCTTCAACGAACGGATAGACACGGTTGATGGTGCAGGAGATATTGATTTGGAATGAACTTGTAACATCAAGTACAACATATGACGATGAGTTTCCATTGGAGGAGAAAGAAGTGCTGCCGCCGTTGACGCAAGAAGAGAAATCTAGGTAGTTTAAAGTATTGACAGGGCTTGCACAACGCACAAAAAATATCACAGGGGGAGGCCAATAGTATTCGTAAGGGTAATGGAAAGGCCAAAATGACCCATCACCACCAAATCCATAGAATGGAAAGGAATTGCCAGGAATGGAGCAGTAATCATTGTTTATGTTGGCATCCACTAATCTTATTGTTTGGTTCTCATAAGAGATCTCTTGGACATAGTATTTCACTCCATTCAAGTCCACAGTTGTGCGATTGTTCTCACAAGCCAGTTCGTGGTAACCGTCACCACAGCTACGAGGATGGCCTCTCAAGTAGAAAGGGTAGCTGATGTTACCAATGCTTCCGCAAGAAGAAGGGAAACACTGCTTGTTTTCTAATTGGTCATAATCCCAAAACTCAAGCTGAAACCCTCGAAGCAACTCCTGTTGAATATCAGGCATGGTGATGTTCCAAGGGATCGCTTCAATGAATGGATTCGGAAACCCGCCCCAGATGTTGCATGAGTCATGGATGTCCATTGGACTTGAAACATTCAGTACAACATATGACGATGAGTTTGTTTCGGTTTGGAAATTGTAGTCGCAAGAAGAGAAACCTATGTAGTTTGAAGAATTCACTGGACTCGCACAACTCACAAAAATTATATAATCATAAGGATTAAATAAACGGTAAGTCCAAATGTAAGGAATAGGGAAGGAGTTGGAAAAAACAGAGCACTGATCCATGGCTTGTGACAAAAATGGCACAACTCTTATGCTTCGATTTTCATAAGAGATATCTTGGACATAGTATTGGACTCCATCCAAGTCCAGAGTAGTGCGATTGTTGTCACAAGCCAGTTCGTGGTAAGAGTCACCGCAGGTAGGAGGATGGCCTTTCAAGTGAAAAGGGTAGCTGATGTTACCAATGTTTCCACAAGAAGAAGGGGGGCAGTGCTTAGTTTCTGTTTCTTGGGCAATATAAGCTTCAGGAAACAGAGCAAATACAAGAACCATAAGCCCAACTATACTACTAAATCTTAATAATGCCCTTAACAACAGCATGTGTAAATTCATGTCTTTGGGCATTTGCGTATGGCTCAGAGAGAGAGAGATTTGAAAGTGTTGATTAATTAATTTGAAGATGGTTGCAATAAAAGTATTCCTGTGAAAAATCAAAAGTCATGCAATCAATTAGCAATTAAAAGTCAGTCAACGGTAGTAATGGTCAGTAGGAGAGACGAAGAAACAGAGGAAGAAGCATGCTAGCAAGTTCGGTCGAAAGGAAGAGGTGCATGAATTTATTTTTTATTTTTTCAATTATAATTATTATTGTTGTTGTTATGACTGCAACTGAAAGAAGACTTTTGAAAAATCAAAGTCAAGCAAAATAAGGCAAATTAAAATTAAAAGTTAGTCAAGTGTAGGGTATAGTTTGGTACAAGAGAAGAAATTTCCTCAATAAAAAAAAGGATGAAAAGAAAGAGAGGAGCGATAAAGAAAGGGGAAGGTAAAAAAATAAAAAATAGTCCTTTTCATGCTTTCTCATTTCATTTGTACCACCTTTTTAAGAAAAAATTTATAAATTCTTTTAACTTGTTCCCTATTACTTCAATTGCCATAAGCCTAACTATACAAGCTCTGAATTTTATTAAATTCTTGCTTGAGATGATGAGATCAATATGAAGATGAACATGGAAGCTTAATGTATTGTATTGTCCGGCTATCATTCAGAGAGAAGAGGATGACTTAAATTAATAGTGGACAAAGTGACAAGTGGCACCACGGTGAAGGAAAAGATTAAACGATTCCACAGTTAGGAACCATTGAAAAGTAGCAAACTAAAACCGAAAAAAATATATATTAAATAAAAAGAATGGAACTTTAGCATCCTCTTCTCTTCTGTGTTTTTGCCTTCATAATAATAATACCAATCATTTAATTTTAAATAGTATTATAGGTATTTATCACCCCATCTTTTCTTTCACGCTTTGATCCTCTAAGCTTTTTCAAGAGGACTCTTAAACACCTATTTTTAAATCTTTAACGTGGTTGATGGGTTGAAAATTACATTTTGTTTTCATGAAAATCACGCACACGCTGTGTACTGTAGAGTTCCGTGTTGGTTGGTATTGGAAATCCAATGTGTAAAAATGACCACAAATTTGATAACCCTCGTGATTCTCTAAATGTAGCGAGATTCGTTGTCATATTAGCCTTTTCTAAAACAATGATATTCCTACGATAAAAATCTAAGCTCATGCCAATGTGGCATTGTTTATAAAAATTATTTAGAAATTAAGTAGAAAATACTCAAAACGTATATTTTGCATAGTATTGTTATCCTTATTTAAAAAGGTATGCTAAAAATACTTATATTCTTTTAAAATTATGTAAAAATACATCTCAATCAATAATCTGACATAAAGTAATACTGTAATACCGCTTTGCTCATTTACTCTTCCAAAAATGCCCAAGGGAATGTGTATGCTAATAATCTCTAAGAGCATCTCAAGCGGTCTGTTAAAAAACTCTTTTGTGTAAAATATACACTGCCACATATGATTTGTAAATTTTTTTCATCTCCAACAGTATGTTAAGATACACTGCCACATTACCAATATATAAAAAAGTTGTGTATTTTACACCGCACTTTTACACTTCCATGTAAGCATATTTTCTCTCTCCTCCCCCCTTTCTCACGCACGGTTCTCTTTATTCTCTCTCACTTCTTTGTTTCCCACTTTTCTAAAGTGTAATAGAGAAGAATATGTAAGTGAAAAAAAATTTAAATTCTTTTAACTTGTTCCTTATTACTTTAACTGCCATAAGCCTAACTACACAAGCTCTGAATTTTATTAAATTCTTGCTTGAGATCAATATGAAGATGAACATGGAAGCTTACCGTACGTATTGTATTGTGTGGCTATCATTCAGAGAGAAGAGGATGACTAAAATTAATAGTGGACCAAGTGACAAGTGACACCACGGTGAAGGAAAAGATTAAACGATTCCTCAGTTAGGAACCATAGAAAAGTAGCAAACTAAAACCGAAAAATATATATATATATTAAATAAAAAGAATGGAACTTTAGCATCCTCTTCTCTTCTGTGTTTTTGCCTTCATAATAATAATAATACCAATCATTTAATTTTAAATGGTATAATAGGTATTTATCCCCCATCTTTTCTTTCACGCTTTGATCCAAGCTTTTTCAAGAGGACTCTTAAACCCCTATTTTTATTCTTTAGCGTGGTTGATGGGTTGAAAATGATATTCCGTTTTCAATGAAAATCACGCACACGCTGTGAACTGGAGTTACATGTCGGTTGGTATTGGAAATCCAATGTGTAAAAATGACCATAAATTTGATAATCCTCATGATTCTCTAAATGTAGTGAGATTGGTTGTCATATTAGCCTTTTCTAAAACAATGATATTCCGACGGTAAAAATCTAAGCTCGTGCCAATGTGGCATAGTTAATTAAAATTATTTAGAAATTAAGTAGAAAATACTCATAACGTATATTTTGCTTGGTACTTTTATCCTTATTTAAAAAGTACCTCTCAATCAGTAATCTGACATAAAGTAATATTGTAATACCCAAGGGAATATGTATGCTAATAATCTACAAGGATGTTATGTGCACATTGACTATATTTAACTCACTTTTAAGAATTTTCTCTTGCATTTTCCTAAAGAAATTTCTCTATATATTTTCACAAACAGTGTATTGTCTCTCTTTAAAAAAAAAATTGTTGCCACAATTGTCAAATAAATGTACAGTAAACCATATGGAATGAAAAATTTAGATCCTTTTATAATTGCAAATAAAAAAAAAAAAATTCCCAATTAAATTTTAATATAGTTATTAGTTTTCATTAAATATATAACTAAAAAATTAAATTAAAGATACTTATTCATTATATATCTAAAAGGTATACATTTAAATTTTTTAACTTTTGAATTTGCAATAAATTTGAACATATATATATATATAATTCTTTATTTAGCAATAAATGGGTATTAAGTCTTTATTGAGAAAAAAATAAACAAATGGGTGTTCAATAATCTACGGTCATCATATTATTCAAATTGCAATAAAACTACATTCTCAGTTAAATCTAACCGTTAATATCAAAATATTAAAAATAACAAAAGTTTATAAAGTGCAAAAAAAAAAACCGCGCACAACCTATAATATATAATATGTTTACCGTGCGTATCACACCACCATGTACCAAATGCCCATTTTCTGCATGTCATAAAATGATGCATTTTTAAATAATAGGTAAAATGTATATATAAAGGCAATTTAATCAAACTATAACTTGAATGTGTCAAGATTATTTGCACCAAATTGAAACTTTAGAAATGTGTTTTTTTTTTACACATGAGGGGTGTGATATGCACTACATGTAAGCATATTATAGGAAGAAATAGCATGAATTGACTTGTTACAAAATGTCCAGTGGTAAATGTGAGATATGCAAAGCTTAAAAATTAAACAAACTAAATGGCTATTTTTTTGGTGGAACCAAATGCAAGAAGGGCCTAGAATGTAACGACCTGAACTCGTGGGTTCGAACCGTTAACCGGGTCCTTACCCAAAACTGAGGTCACCTAAGTCAACCGTCATGTATAGTGTCAAAAACATCATTCTTAGGTCATAATTATGTTTTACAAAAGCTCTAAGCAACTTCCCAAAACTCTAAATGGATTATGCCGGAGAGAGGAACAAAGTGAACCAAACAACCATAGTTCGATCGACCGAAGTGGAGCTTTGGTCGGTCGAAGTGAACTCCCTTGTATTGGTTGACTGATAAGGCCACTTCGGTTGGCCGAAACAAGCATTTCGGCTGGCCGGAATGGCTCCACGAACTGAGTACAGCTACTGGAAGTGCTGAAACTGAGAAAATGAGAAATGGCCTATGTTGAAACTTTGCAATCTGCTCTAAACATGCTCTAAAACAAATATATGTGGCTAAACTACATACCATTGATATAATCATCAACAATTAGATACAAAACAACATCATTCTTCCTTGCAAATAAGAGCTAATGCATAGTCTTTACATTTATCCCAATTTACATCAAAAATATTATCATGAGTTTAAAGTTATATTACAAAGCCATGTTTTTCAACTTGATATTCAAATGATGCTTTTACAAAAGAAAGGCTTAATATACAAAAGATTGCAAAAGAAATGAACTTCTAATCCCTTTCAAATTTGTAGTGGATTGTCATCCGCCACCTCCTTCCCGTGACCTGAAAAATGTTAAATATAAAGGAGTTAGCAAATTGCTCAGTAGGTGGCGCCTAAGACACACCTATTATGACCCTCGTGAATCCAAATAATGAATAAAAAAAAAAATAAGGAACGGGATCATGCTATGCCGAGAGAAAATACAACAAGTTACAAAACCAAAATAAACAATGTGATGCTATGGAATGCTCTGTCATATTATGTCGCTCCCCATTTTCAAAATCACTTCCATTCTTCACTTTTCAAACCATTTACATAACCCATCCCACGGTGACCCCCTAGCGACACGAGAGAAGGATTGGCTACTGTCCCTGACCCTTGGTAACCCCGCGGCGTCATTTGGACCCCAGATAGCTCAACCATACTAAGGCGATCTCCCTAGTTTCATCTAGGTTACATTAACACCACAGATGTGATACCCCTCGAATCTGAGACATGTGTTGATCAGGGCTAAGCCCAAATCCGAGGGAATATCAAACAATTAATATATAAACGAAAACAGAATATAAAAGATTTAAGAATAAAATATTAAAGCTGAAAGAATTATTAAATATAAAATGCTAAGACGAAAAAAATAAAAAATAAAAAATAAAAATAAATTAAATAAAAAGAATGGAAATTTAGCATCGTCTTATATGGTCCTTCAAATTTTAAGAGTAGAAGTAAAAAAAGAAAAATGAAAGAACTTTCAAAGAAAAAACTTTAAAAGTTTCAATTGAGGAGGGAAATTTTGACTTTTTCTATTAAGGAAATTTAAGGAATTTGAAGAATAAAAGAGAAAATAATGAGATAATTTTAGGAACCACAAAATTTTGGGGGGGCACTGTATAATTTTTTTCATATATATGGAAAAAATTATCACATATACTATAGAGTGCGGACCAACTCAGGAGGGCACGTGCCCCCCAAGGCTTTCATTGGCTCCGTCCCTATCCACAACATATACTGCTTGGAGAAGTCCGGTGCACGATGCGCCGGGCACTCCCAATACCTTCTCTTCTACAGGGACTTAAACCCTTTGACCTGTCCATTTAATTTAGGTTTAAAATCACAAAACCCCCCATCGAATTTCAAAAACGTGCATAAAACCTACAATAAAATAAAATAAAAAACTCTCTCAACTAACAAAATTTATCAAGTTACCCCAAACTCGTAACCGACCCGTTAAATAAGTTGACCTTACTATTTAATATTAAATTAAAAACTATAATTATTATTTTAAAATTAAAAAAATAACCCCAAAGTGCTTACAAAAATATTAATTAAAAGTTATTAAATCAAATTTGACTTTCAAAATGCTTGGCAAGAAAGCATGGGTATTTTTGTAATTTAAAATAATATTATAACTTTTAATTTAATATTAAATAATAAGGTTGATTACCAGCTTGGGCTCCCCAATGGACTAATATGTCTAGTTGAGTTGGGTTGGCTTGTGTTTGCTAATTTCATACGGTATAATAAAGGACAAAAAATCGGATGAATGTTCTAGGTTAGTCTTGGTCCATACACAAATACAATATAGAACTTGGACAAATTGAACTTGGTGAATATTCCAGGTTAATCTTTCCAAAAACTTGGACAAATTGAATTTTTTACAGGAATCTACAACTGGTTTACCTCAATAAGGCCCAGAGTTGAACACACACCATCACAAATGTCCAGTAGTTGAAGTATACCTGCATTATACAACTGGTTTACCTCAATAAGGCCCAGAATTTTTTTTTTTTTGGGACCAAATGCAGGTAAAAAAAAAAAAAAAAGTATATCTGCATTTGGTCCAAAAAAGAAAAGAAAAAAGAAGTATACCTGCATCAATACTTGGAAGTTCTTTAACCAAATAATTGCAGCCTCACTCTAACGTGCATCAATAATTGAAGTTCTAAAATTTAATGAATGGCTCCATTTGAATGCTACCTTCATCAATAATTGAAGTTCTTAATGACAGAGTCAAAGTTGATGCAACTTTCTCTTTAATGGTCTAGTGATTTGATTTGTCCTCATAGAGGTTTCAACATAAATGTCATGCATTCTTTGTTTTAGTTGCTTTACGTGACTATAATTGGCTTGACTGTTATGTGGTTGCTTCGTGTCAATTGATGAATCTTTTTTGGTCCTTTCCCTTCTCCTTCCCATTATTAATTTATGTGTTGTGTCCGAAAGAAATGACTTCAACTTTGACACAACTTTAAATTATAGAGAAAAAAAAAACTTCCATATTCATATTCATACTAATCAATGATGACTCACTTTAAGTCTTCTTGATTTGTCTGATTTGTTTGCTTGCATAACTTTGATTTTTCAGAATCATTTGAATGCACCAATCTCATACGCAAATACCCAAGTCTCATGATGGACTAAATATGAAATCTATGATATACGCGAGACAAAGAAACAGAGGAAGAAGCATGCTAGCAAGTTCGGTCGAAAGGAAGAGGTGCTTGAATTTATTTTTTATTTTTTCAATTATAATTATAGTTATTATTGTTGTGGCTGCAACTGAAAGAAGACTTTTGAAAAATCAAAGTCAAGCAAAAGAAGACAAATTAAAATTAAAAGTAAGTCAAGAGTAGTGTATGGTTTGGTACAAGAGAAGAAATTTCCTCAATAAAAAGAGGATGAAAATAAAGAGATGAGTGATAAAGAAAGGGGGGAGGGTAAAAATATTAAAAATAGTCCTTTTCATGCTTCTCATTTCATATGTACCACCTTTTAAAAAAAAAAAAATTATTTTTAACTTGTTTCCTACTACTTCAGGAAATAGAGCAGCTATAACTGCCATGAGCCTAACTATACAAGCTCTGAATTTTATTAATGCTCTTGACATCATTTCTAAATTATTGCTCGAGATCAATAATGAAGATGATTTGTATTGTATTGTGTGGCAATCATTCAGAGAGAAGAGGATGACTTAAAATTAATAGTGGACCAAGTGACAAGTGACACCACATAAAAGGAAAAGATTAGACGATTCCTCAGTTAGGAACCGCAGAAAAGTAGCAAGCTAAGACGGAAAAATAATGGAAATTTAGCGTCCTCTTATGTAGTTTTGCCTTTATAATAGGGTAATAATATTTACACTAACATATATTTACGGTGAATTGTTTAATTGAATAGTTTTTAATTGACTATTCATATCAAATACAACTAAATAGAGAGCTTTATTTTTTTATTTATTGTATAATTGACCAATTAAAAAAAGAGTAGTGATACTTGTAGTGAACTGCCTCATTCAATAATTTTTAATTAATTTTTTATACTAAATATAACTAAGTGGATGGTTCTACTTCCTTATTTGTTATATAATTGACTAATTAAAAAAATAAGTTTAGCAATTCACTTTAACTATTCAGTGTAAGAATTATTTTTCTTAAAAAAATAGATTTAACAATTCACTATAACTATTCGGTGAAAGAATTATTTCTTTATAATAATAATACCAATCCTTTAATTTTAAATAGTATTATAGGTATTTATCCATCGCACTTTGTTCCCTTCTAGGCTTCTTTAAGGGGACTCTTAAACACCTATTTTTTATTCTCTAACGTGGTTGATGGGTTGAAAATTACATTACGTTTTCAATGAAAATAACACACATGCTGTGTACTGTAATGTGTGTCGGTTTGTATTCGAAACCCAATGTGTAAAAATGACCATAAATTTGATAACCCTCGTGATTCTTTAAATGTAGTGCGATTTGTTGTCATATTAGCTTTTTCTAAAACAATGTTATTCCTACTTTGAAAATCTAAGCTCATGCCAATGTGGCATAGTTTATAAAAATTATTTTGAAATTACTCTAAGTAGAAAATACTTCAATTTATATTTTGCTTAACACTTTTACTTTTATTTGAAAGAGTGTGTTAAAAACACTCGTATCCTTTTATAATTGGGCAAAAATACCTCTCAATTAGTATTCTAACATAAAGTAATATTATAATACCCGTTTTGCTTTTTTTCTTTTTTAAAAATGCACAAGTGGATGTCAATGCTAATAATCCCATAGTATAATGATGTTGTGTGCACGTTAACTACATTTAACTCACTTTTAAGAATTTTCTCTTGCATTTTCGTAAATAAATTTATCTATATATTTTCGCTAACAATGTATTGCCTCTCTTTAAAAAAAAAAAAAATCTATTTGTTGCCATAATTGTAAAATAAATGTATAATACCTCATTATGGAATGAAAACTTAAGATCCTTTTATAATTACAAAAAACAAAAAATTATTCCTAATTAAATTTTAATATAGTTATCAGTTTTTATTAAATATATAATTGAAAAATTAAATTAAATTATAAATTATAAATTATACAACTAAACTGCTAAATAGATAAAAATTGTAAATGGACTACTTATTCCTATAAAAATTGTAGAACTTCAGGAAATAACGAAGAACATGAATGGGATACCAATATGTCTAAAGTTATTGCAAATGAACCACTTATTTATTTATTTATATTTATATTTATTATTATTATTATTTTATCATTCTATGCACGCAGAAGTGAAGTTATTTTATCATTCTATGCACACAGAAGTGAAGTTAATAATAAATTAATAATTGACTACCAGCTTGGGCTAATGGACTAATATATCTAGTTGGGTTGGGTTGTGGCTAATGGACTAATATTGTAGTTGGGTTGGGTTGTGTTTGCCTAATTTCAGATAAAGGTCTAAAAATCAGGTGAATGTTGTCTTGGTCCATTACACAAATACAACATAGAGAACTTGGACACAAAGTGAATTTTGTGCTGGACTCTACAACTGGTGTGTACTTTCAATAAGTCCCAGAGTTTTATCACACAGTCGCACACCATCACAAAAGATGGATTTAATATTGCGGGAAAACACGGCAGACTTAATTCATTTAAGATATCATATTAGGGAACAAATTGTCGCTCTGGATTATGTGGCTCCGAGTTGACGATTGTCTTGAACATTTCTTCACCTGCGCGCTCCACTTGTGTTAATTAGAAAATGAAATGATTATTCTTCATTTTACTGTATGCATGTGCTCAGTTTGTTTGGCCTTTGCGTGTAATATATTTGTAAAAAAAATAGTTTTTTATTTTTATTTTTGGTGTTTAGTTGTCGTAAAATATTTAAGAAGAAAAATAATATTAATTTTAACAAAAATAATTTACCTATTAATTTTAACAAAGTTATCTTTACACCTCTTGCCTGATAACTTCGACCTATACCTTTGCCAAATACTGAAAAAATAAAATTAAAAAATATATATTTTATCTATAAAAAAAATTTTAAAAAAATCTTTTTTAAAAAGTATTCTTTGTCACGGAACCTTAGTGGCCCTCATGAAATGGACTAAAAATGAAACTAGATTTGTTTTCTACGATAAGCATGAAGCGGACTTTTATTGATCAAGTCAAAGTTGATGTAATTTTCTCTTGGATGAAAATGTAGTGAATTTACTTTCTGTGATTTGATTTGGCTTGGACTGTTGTGTGATGTGGAATGCTTGGTGTAAGTTAATGAATTATTCACAAAATAAAATTAAAAAAAAACTTTCATGTTCACATTCATATTCATATTAATCAAAGTTGATAAACTTTAAAGCCTTCATCTTTTGTTTGCTTCCATGACTTTGAATACAGAATGGCCACCTATTATAATATGTTATTATACAATATAATATAAAGCGTCATATTTACTACTTGTTCATAATATTAATCAAAGTTGACCAACTTTTAAGTCTCTCTCTTTTGTTTGCTCATGCACAATGGCCACCTGTCATAATATGTTATTATATAATATAATATAAAGTGCCATAATTGCTCCATGTTCATATTCATGCATGAATCAAAGTTGACACCTTAAAGTCTTCCTCTTTTATTTGCTTGCTTGCATGACTTTTGAACGTAGAATGGCTAACTATTATAATATGTTATTATATAATATACAGTGCCATAACAGTTCTTAAATAAAATTTTATGTGTTCTTTGTTTTAGTTGCTTTGCATTATTATAATTGGTTTGACTACTATGTGATTGTTTCACGATTGATGAATCATTTTCAGTCCTTTTCTTTCTCCTTCCCATTATTAATTTGTGTGTTATGTCTAAAAGAAATGGTTTCGACTATGAGACAATTTTAAGTTACAGAAAAAGAAAAAAAATTCTATGTTCATATTCAGGTGACTCACTTTTAAGTTTTCCTAATTTGTTTGCTTGCACGATTTTGATTTTTCAAAAGACTACTTTAAATGCACCCATCTCATACACAAATGCCTAATTCACATAAATGACTAAATATGAAATCTAAAAAAAAATAGTGGTACATATAAAAACAGAGACATGAAAAGGACTCTTTTTAAAATTTCCAACTCCCTTCCCTGACCTCCATTCCTCGTCTCCTTTTTGTCCTCTTTTTCTCAAGGAAACTTCTATAATCTTTTCAAATTTCTCACTTTTCTACTCTTGATCGACCTATAGTTTTAATTTAAGGGTTTATTAGTTTAACTTTTCTTTAGGTTTTAGTGGGTGTGCTCAACCACGCCCCTATCATTTTCTTTTCTCAAATCTCTTGAGCAAGTTTTATAAAAATGATAAATATTTTACTTTTTTTCCTGTATGAAAAGACAATAATAATCTTATTTATTGCTAAATAATGTACTATTATTGTTAGATATTAATTTTGGTGTCAAAAAATGTCCCACAAAATTGTGTGAGGAGGGCAAAAATGAGTTTTTTTTTTTTTTTTTCTTCGGTTATTACAGGAGGACATTAATTATTCAAAGGAATTTAATTTTAAAAAATGAAAAATTACTGTCATATAATACTAGAAAAAATAAGAAAAAAAAGAGTCATTTCACTCATACACCATCATTGTTTAGTGAAAACCAACTACAATTACTAAAAGGCTAGAATGAGAATTTATCTAAATGGACCACTTATTCTTATAAAAATTGTAGGAGAATTTCAGGAAAATAATGAAGAACATGAAT